TGGGGGATTGTCAAAATTATGGTCCCTTTTTGGGTACCTTACATATTAGGTGCCGTACTGTAATAGGGATCCAAAAAGGGACCATAATTTTGACAACCACCCATATCCAATCCTAGAAGCTGTCTGAGGGCCAAGATCATGGGTTTTTTTCCGCAAGCATCGTGATACTGTACTTATTCGAGACCTAATTCTCACTGCTTAGCTTTCATTAGCACTTGCTATGTTATAGTAGCAGTGTCGTCGTTCTCTGACTGATACCTCTGATTCGGATTTGCCGAGCATTCTGGCAGGGCTGTCTGTGAGTTTGGCCCCCTTTTTGGGGAGTCCCTGAAGTGTGGCGCTGTAGGTGTAGGCTTAGCGTTTCACCCGTGCGCCTTGAGCTCCAACTCCACTCATTACCCCGAACTGAATGGAAGATCAAACTACAAGGCTAGCGGATATCATGATACAAAGAAAGCGATAAAGTTTCTTGCAGCCTTCACGGCACGAAGCTGGATGTCGATGCGGCGTGGGACACAGGCCTGAACCCTCTGCCAGCCCTCCCCGTTCGACGACAGTGAGACCAGCTCGCTCAAGAGGCGGCAGAGGTTGAGATTTCAGGTCTCCGAGCTAGGTTTTCAGGGGAGGGGGGTTGCTGGTTTGGGGCAGGCGGGAACAAGATATTGGGTCGTCATTTCTAGGCAAGAGTGTACAAATTCAGATAAGTGAATTTAATCGCTTGAAATCTTGGGATGATTACGAGTAGCTTGCTGCCAAAGGCATGGACCAGCTCCAGGCCGAGAAATTAGTGCACTCCTGCAGGGTTAGTGTCCCCCTTTAAGTAGATATAATATGGGGTGCATGGGGATCTTACTATAATATACCCAAAGCCATATTCTATCTGCTTAAGGGGACTATGGGCAGAAATTTGGAAATTCGCCCTGCGCATGAGCCTCCGACAGAAAATCATCAACACCCGCCCTAAAGATCGCAAAAAGTTCACAGCCGTTGGAGTAAGGAATAACGATGAAAGTTGAACTTGCTTAGAGCCATTTGGCAGGATCAGGAACCAAAAGTATACCCGACAAGGATGCGGACTAGTGACTGAATGCCACTTACGCAACCTCATTCTGACTACGTCTGGGGATTTTCCAAAATTAGGAGTACCTTTTGGGGGGCCCTAATAATAAGGAAAAAAAAATTGGTGTCCATATTGGGGTCCACCTATTTACGGAAACTACCATCTCTTGCCAGCCCTGTGCAGCTACTTTGTAGCACTGCGCGTGCTGCTCTGCATCTTCGCCTGGGATTTGTAACGCTGTGGGAAAAGTGGCTATATATGGATTATGTGGGAGTAATATAGGGATCATGGAAAATAAAACGGAAACTAGGGCTTATAGGGATTATGTAGGAGCTGCCAAGGAGCTATATAGACTATACAGGGATCATGTGTGTGGGGCCTTCCAGTGTCCTAGCATCAGCATGACACCTCTAGGAATTCTTGCCCTCCAGGACTGACGATCCGCCGGTGCGTGCAAAGAAGTTCAAAGGATGGACACGGCGAGCTTGATATTTAGAGGGTCATATAGCGTATGACACAAGTCTACGTTCACAAACCTGGGCTTTGTTGACTGTTAAATGCTCCTACACAGCGGAGTGGCATCACATACGGTTCTGCGCAGGCTTTGGAGTGTTAAAGCTCATCCTACGTAGCAGGATGGCATCACACAGGGTTCTGCGCATGCTTTGGAGGTGTGGCAGGTGACATAAATGGGTGACAACGCAACAAAGTGTATTTACGTGTATTTGTGAGATTCCCAGTCTGCTGCCGCGCAGCATACATCCGCATCGCTGTGCGAATCCGATTCCATCTCGCCTTTACAACATTTCGCACCTCTCACAGGGAAGGTGCTGCAAGGCAAGTTGTAGCGACAGTAGAACTTGCTTGCAATCCACCATCCTATCCAAATCAGAATATCAACCCCGCCACTCTTGGAATCTTCTCCTCAGTCAGAGCATTAATTACTCGAAATTCCAACGACAATGGTCATTGCAACGTTTTCGCTTTGCTTTACAGTCATCGTCAATCTTGCATCGGAGAGGTCGGCCTCGTGAGCTACGAGGTCCGCCATCTCGCAGCCAACAACGTCTTGGATGTTGGCCTCGCGTGGCGCAAGTCTAAACTGAAGGTTCCAACTCCAGTATTCAGAACTAATGACAGAGCTTATTCCTGCAAACCCTGAACCCAATGCATGACATATAAAACAGACCCTATACAAACCCCCAAGATGTACACTAGAAATCCCTAGAATCTCCAAAACACACGCCCGAGGCACTGCAAAGGATTTCTTGTGGCCCAGCTCGTGTTTTCGGAAACCCTCAGGGTGCTCCGCCTCGGTTGGAAGAGGAGTTTGGGAGCTCTTCGTCATTTTTTTGGGTGTGTGTAGAGCAACGTATAGGTCTACAACTCTAGTGTTGTTTTGGAAAACCCGAAAGGGGTTTACTCCTTGTAATTGTGCCTCCAGAAATGGGCACATGCTTTCTCCCCTATGCTGTCAGGATAATGCTTCTGGTTAGACAATAAAGCACCGTAATTTAGTGGGGGTTCAAGTCTTTCAAGATACTGCAACTTGTTGCTAAGATTTCAGAACACATTTAGAAGAGGAATACAGAACTTGCAGCACTCCTGCACTGCAGACAAGAATCATGCGAGTCACTCGGCATCCACAGCAAGGGCCGAAAATTCAACTCCCCCTCATCATCGTCATCATGATCATCTACATTTAACTATAAAACGATGAATTGAAACCTCACTGAGCCCTGAAAGCGAGAAGAGTCCGAGCAGCGTGTATTCTTTCGATTTCTTGTAGAATGCCTCCGAACGGGACGGGACGAAATGGCTCGGATCTTCGCTGACCGCAGTCTAACTCGTACGGTTAAAGGACAAATCATGGCTCGCATTTCAAGGTTGTGGTAAAAGCCGTCCGCTGCTGCCCAACATAGCAGGGTATTTGTCAGGGGTCTTTTTTTCTGCAATCCACTCCAAGAGACCGGTAAAGATGAGAAGACTTTCCGGAGCATGGTAAGTATCAGGAAGCGGTCATGCATGAGTCACGGAAATATCCAGACCTTCCGCGCAGAGACAAAGCTAGGGAAGCTAAGAGCGATATGAAATTTGCTGGTATACGTAAGCATTCTTCACCTGGGAAGGATTCCACAAGGACTGCGAAGAAATACTTTCGGGCATGATTCAAGGTCCTATGGTCACCAGCAGACAACTGATCAGGCCTGTCTTCGCAGGATACCAGCTGTCAAGGGTAGCTTTGCCCTGCAAGCGCCATGCCAGATCCAATTGCATGAGGATTCAGACTTTGTGAGCACGTACAAGCCCAACACGAAACAAATAAGTTCAGGAGCGCTTCGGCATAGCCAGCTGAAGATCCCCTCTATGTATATATATATATACACATTCATACTATTGACAGCGAGCAATCGAGGACGGAGGACCTGACAGCTCCACATCGTTGCCCGTACTCGTGATGACATGCGACCTACGTCTGCTTATGAAAAAAAGCTTGAGACATCCACGCAGAACAACTGCGCACCTTTGCGAAAAGCCATTTCCTTGGGATGCGAATAGTTCATTGGAGTTGTTGTACTATGCTATCAACTGATGGGACTGAACCAGGCTTACTGCTCTGTGCACCAGGTGCCAAGCCATGCCGAGAATACAAAAAAATACCAATATCCTGAATCCAGACCCACAACTGGGCGTGAAGCTCTTGACACATGTAGACCGACATGGCATCCCAAAACACATCCTGCATATCCCACCAAGCAGTCAGCGCCTCGCTGGTGGCCTTCAGCTTCTGTACAACCTCATACCAGCCTGTCTTGGAACAGCGCTTTCCCTTCAATCTGCCATCTGAGCCATAGTCTGGACTCCTAGTATCCCCTTGATAGCTCATGTAGCTTATAGTCAGACGAGGCTTCTTGCATGATGGGACAACCCTTTCTTGGGACTGCGTGGCCAACGAAGGACGCATGTTTCCGAATCTATGTTACATGTTCTGAGTTGGATGTTGGATGCAAGCTCTGAAAACATAACTCATGCTGAATTGCCAGTTCACTCTAGCGCACAAGTTTCTCAGATCCATGCGAGCTATATATAGACTAAAAACTCATAGTAACCCCCTTAATCACCATTACAGTACTCCTGTATATAATCCGTTATACAACCCCCTTCAAGGAGTTTAGACTATAGCTCATGCAAGGACGGCCTCAGCATGGCTGACGATCAAAGGGGCTTGCGAAGCACTTCAACGAGTTTTAGGGTTTCGGGCAGATTGCCACACAAATAAAGGGACTTTCATGGGAACCCCAAACAGGGAACCCCAAGAATATAGCAGGAACATAATAGGAACATGACTACCAGACTCCTTATATTCCTACTATATTCTAGGGGTTCCCTGTTTGGGGTTCCCATGAAAGTCCCTTTAACAAACTTCCATTCCCGATGCCAAGCTCTAAGCCTTCCAAAATTAGGGTACCATTTTGGGGGGGGCCACAAAAAGAATAAGAATTGATATTTTGGGGTCTTCAATGGGGTCCCCCTATGTAGGGAAACTACCCTTTCTCTCTCTTTTGTCTATTTCTCATTTCAATCCCCCCAGGAACCATGGGATGGCTCACCGGGGCCTGCATCCCGGATAGGCCAGACCGGATTGAAGGGAAAAGTGTAGCCTCATTCGCCAGGACATCAGTGCTGAATTCTGGCATCTGGAAGTGAGCTGGTCTGGGCCGATTTTCTACTAAAAACTTTCCGGAAACCCTGCAAAGCATGGAAATAAGCTTCCCTAGTACACCTTATATTAACCCGTACTCCAAGAAATCGTGAACTTAACCTGTGGCATCTCCCTGAAGCCCACTGAGGTTGCTGAACCCAGACCTCTGTGTTGACGAGATGGCTTCAATGTCTGGCATACCGGGGACATGGGATCGTTGCGAGCAGGACATTGGTGTTAGAAATAGGAAAACTGCCGTTCTCTCCAAAGGTTTCCTCTCAAAATGGTCTCCGAGCCACCGTCATCCACCCTCTTTTTGAGGAAGTCCCTGAGCTCCAGTTCGCTCACGCCTTAGCAGGTGGGTTCAGCAGCTGCCACAACAACCCCAAAGTGTTTGGAATACATGCTTGCGGGCCAAGTTGGGGAGGATGCGACTACACAGTATGCCTCGCCTGGCATACAACCCAATTTAATACATGCGTCCTTCTCCAAACTGGCGGATGATATCCCAATTTCATTTCTACCACACAACTACCAGGAATTTTTAAGCATCCAAAAAAAACAATTTCAATCATGATAAGCGTGATCGACTGCTCGAGTGCTCGGGCTCCGAGCTCCTCCATGGCGGATCTTGGAAGCCATCCCAGACGATGAGAAACTCCTGCAATCCATCCCTACCTCCTGACATCTCACCCTGAGACGTCTAGACTTGGGTAGCGCATTCAAGCAGCCATAGGCCCTACCTGAATCGCCCATGATTCCTGAATTGCAGGCACCCATCCTGGTCCAACTCCTGCGGAAAGTAGAAGTTGAAGCACTCGGCGCCATGCCGGACCTTTCTCAGAATCTCTCCGAGTCCGAGTGCCGGGTATTGCAATGTATGAAGAATGCCACACAGTGTTGTAGGGCGTTGCATCCGTGATTCCGCTTGACACTGAGCCCGACACAGCCCCACAGGCTTCGGTTTCGTAGACGACGTCCTCGACAAGGCCTTTGCACTGCAGATTCAGCAGTAATACCAGCATTTTCAAATTGATGTCCCGCCAAGTGCTTATGACAGCTGCGGCACGAGGGCAGCAGCTGCTGCATCTTCGCGTTATGCCGAGCTACGCAACTTACATCTCATCACGTCTTCATCCAGGCTTACACAGGAATCACAGAAGAAGCTCTCAGCCGTGCTTCCCTCTGCGCTGCTGCTCAAAGCCGAAACACCGAAACTCCCAAGCAATGCAATCTGTCTCCGCATAATATAGTTCTGGCTTTCATGACTGGACTTGCTGTTTCGAGTACTCTCGCGACCATGACGATCACCTGAATCCAATTTTGATCATGCTTCATGCTTACGATATCAAACGGAAGTTTGAAGGCGCTTCAAAACTAGGGGCATCATGCTGACACATGAAACTTACTCTAGGACTAGCTTCGGCGAACTTTGGCAGCATTACCTTCACCTCAGAAGCTGCGCAGCACTGCAGCCAAGGCACTACAAGATACGTCGTCGCCGAATCCATACTTCGGCACGCTGGGGTGGAAGCCCTGGAAATGAAGTGGTAGGTTCCAAAAACAAGGACCCAGCAAAATCTACCTAAGTTTGCAGACTCCTGTCAAAAGAGCCTCGCAGACTGAAAATACAAAAGTACAAAAAGTGTAAACGTGAGGCTGCGGCCGAGTCGGGGAGCTGAGCTGACAGCCGGCAGGATGTCGAGCAAAGGCATGGAGATGCAAAAGTCAGAAGGATTCAAAGGTGGCACAGTTCAAAGATCACATGAGACAGCTGGAGGGAAGATGGAGCAAAAGCAACCGCATCACTTATCAGAGGCAAGATCCGAATCAGCTAGCATCTCATGGAAAATCTTGTTTGCTGGCAGTCTTTGCCATGACTTTTTTGCGCACATGCCCAGCAACCCTACATCCAACACAATGCTTTCTGAAACACTACTGCAACCTTTGTACCACCCCGTTCCCAACGATTTGTCTCATCATTGCTGCCGCTGAGGGACCTGGTTGGCCTCTTGCTTCCTGGGAGAGTGTGGCGAACAAACCAGGTGGGAGGGACCCTTAACGGGAACCCATAATTTGGGGACTACCTAGGAATATGAAGGACTGTATCAGATAGTTCCCATCAAGACTAGGATTGGACATTGTCAGGCGAAGGTCCACTCATGAGTTGGGGCGCGTTAAGGGGGACCCCCCCTCATTGGAGGGAACATGTTCATGCTCAGATTGCCACCAAGGCACAACACCTCGAGCCACCGGGAGGTCCATCCTGCGTGCCAGGCATGTGGGCATTCCCCAAAACTAGGGCACCATTTTTGGTATCATAACAGTTCGGTGTACACAAGCACACAGGGGGCCAAGTCTTTTTTGGAAACTCTCATGTTGGCAGTTTCGCGGGCCAAGGACCACCTTACAGGGTCTACGAATTCTCTCCGGCACCAAATACTTGTCATCTAGGTCTTCTGACACAGGCTTTGGACCACATCGCCTTGCATCACATCCCTTCATTACTGGCTTCTGGTGTCTCAGCATACCCCTGAAAGTTCATGGATCTGCCCTGTTGCAGCCCAATCCTTTGTGATCTGGCGTTGCAAGCAGCCGCTGAGTGTGCTTCAGAGACCAGTGAATCAGTTCGATCCTTGGTTGATCGATTCCGCAACGGCAGAGGAATTCCTTGCGGGCAACATCTCGCGAAAAAATGCTGAAAGTATGATTTGCTTTTAGAATCATCAGTACTCCGACCTTTGCAATCCCGGAACAGCCTGGAAATGCTGTCGCTAGTGGCATGGCAAAAGTGCAGGGCACAAATCCATGAGTCAGAGTGCCAAGCATTTACCACACCTAGACATTTTGGTGGGATACCGGCTGATACTGGCCAGTTTCAAGCCACATCCACTGTAAACCCAACCCCTACCCTGGGAACCAAGCACCCAACAGCGGTACTTTGGCCAAGGCACTGCTTCTCCGGAAAGCCCGAATACGAGAAGCCACGGCTGCCTGGCGAAGCTGTAGAGATTCTACTCCCATATTGTACTATAGTGGTTTCCATGTTCTTTTCCATTATCTCTATATAAACCCATATAAACCCATATTATACTATAGTGGTTTCCACTTTCTTTTCCATTATCCCAATATAAACCCTATTATACTATAGTAGTTTCCATTTTCTTTTCCAGCATCCCAAAAAAACCCAATATACTATAGTAGTGGCCATGGATTGCCCACTTGTGGAGCTTTGGTGATGCAAAGGGGCTTTAGCGATACTATTGGCACCCCACATGAAGCCAAGCAGTCTGTACAAAGCTCCCTGAAAAAGAGTGACAAAACCACCACACGCTACTCGCACGTTCCTCGCAATACTCTCAATCTGCTTTGAGCATGTGTGCCCTCTTTGAAACATAGTTGCAGCCGCTGGTGCCCACAGTAAAAGTGTCAAAGTCTGACACCACTGGCTTCACCGCGCTTTCTGCGTAGGCGATCAGGAGACCCAGCGGATTCCTGTTGATTCAGCAAGACATCACCCTTTTGTCTGAGTCATCTGAGTGCTCCTCCTACTACCCTTGCCCCTAATACTGCAAGTACCCCACCATGAATACTACTATCCACTCGGAGTGATGTCAGTGAGCTAGAGCCAAATAATCTAGGTGTCTGCATTTGCAAAGGTGAGCCTAGACTCTGAGGCTTGCACGACTTTGTATGGATGTTCCGAAGTGCTCTGGTCCTTTCGAATCCAAGACAAGATCCACTGGTCCTGACTTCCTAGTTGTCCTAGCCTATCCATTTGGAAGACCTCAGTAAGCTCACCCCTCCCAAACGCACTTCATATCTATGGTAGCTTCCATTTTCTTTTCCATTATCCCTATAAACCCCCAATATACTATAGTAGTTTCCATTTGATTTTCCATTCTCCCAATATTACCCCAATATACCATCATTGGGCCAGGCAGCATGGGGTCCGCGGAATCGAACTGGTATAGAACCACCTGTGAAGCTTGGTGTTTTCAGCAAGGCCTGGAGGCCTTGCCTTCTTTGGCAGATGCCAATGTAACCTCATGTAGACCCTATTATACTATAGGGGTTTCCATTTTCTTTTCCATTATCCCAATACAAACCCATATAGACCCTATTATACTATAGTGGTTTCCTTTGTTTTCAAGGATTGGCTCGGGTCGATGTCGCTGCTTTCCCCTTTACCGCCGAAATTAGATTATGGCTCTAGGATTGATCTACGGTTTGGGACGGCGAGATCAGCTCAGCGAGAGCCGGAAGCCTCATGAGCACATGACGCTGACAACTCCGAAGCCGAATTCTAAACATGACCCCCGCCCTACAGTCGCTCTTGGGACCGTTAGATCTTGGCACCTTTCCAATTCTTGCAAACATTTGCCAACTACCCTGCCTCAGACCAGATCAAGGTGAAGTGTGCGTTTGGCTTGCGTGGTGGAAGTTCGAATAAAAGGTTCGGAATTCTCTGTCTAGGACTCCAGGAAGGGTGAGCTCTTTCCACTTATGCCGGATCCCCCTCACTTCTCTTCGTAGCCCTCACACTGACAGCCGAAAATCTGTTGTAGCCCTTTGGCCTGCGGCGCAGTCTTCTCATCTCGCACAGCGTGGAGATTCCTGGGCTACTTGGAGGTTCATGACTCATGTTGCAAGGGGATGACTGGGTAGGCCTTGATACAACTGGAATTGGAACTTCCAAGTGGGTGAGCCCATGCAGACTACGATGGAATCAAGATGCGGGGATAGATTCAGTGGCCTTCAACGACTCAAAGAAAAGGATGGCCGTACAAAAGAACTCTCGCGTGCCAGCACCAGCGCAGAAACCGTGGAAGATCCGAACCATAGCGCGAACTGTGCTAGCTAGCTGCAGCCAGCTGTCTTGACAGCTAAAACAGTCACAGGGATGAGTAGCCGAGCTGCACAGGGCAATTTCTGGCTCGGCCCAACTCCCAGTTCCCAGACAAATTGCGGGCTTCACATGAATGCTGCAAGAGACCCGAGAACTGCTTCCAGGGATCTGTGCCAAGCTAAAGAATGCTGAAAACCTGCCAAGGCACATGTCCATAAACGCTGGCTCTGAGTCTCTCCCAGTCTCCCAGCCCAGCATCGGAGAGATATCCGGCCTCAAGAAACAAGGCCTCATTCACTGTGGGGTCTTGAGAGACAATGAACCATAACCAAGGAAAAGGATAGGAAATATGACGGCATCATCCCACCAAGTGGTCTTGTTCGCGCGACCCAACAAATTTCCACCCAACCAATAGGCTGGAAGGGAGTTGACAATTCTGTTACTTGCTGATGCTAGCTGGGGTCCGCGATTGCGTTCCTAGGCTTCTGACATCTCCGGCATAAGAGCTCAGGGATGTTCAGGGTCTAAGTGGAGTTGACCACACCCTTCTGTGCAATCATAACTTAAAACTGGCCTGCCTCCCCTTTCAGTATACAGCCTCTTGTTTCAAGCTATGGCTAGGTCTCTGGAGCTCTCCGCGCCTCATGATGTAGACCTCCCGCATGAGAGGCTCTGGTACATCAAGACCTCACGCTGGTGATATGAAGAACGCGATCTATCTGGCTTCGACTTCATTCAAATTGGATGGAACAATGGTCACAAGAAAAACTTGCTGCCAGCCAGTCCGACACGTCGAAATGTGCCTCAAAACGCATGAGCTATAGTCTAAACTCCAAGTTAAGGAGTTTAGATTGTAGTACACATGAAGCCTTTTGTTGCGAAGTGACTGAGCTGATTTCACGAGGGTAGGCCTTTAACGCTTGCGACGCCAACCCCCCTTCAGAGGACGCCCCCCTTCTGAGGACAACACCGTAGGACTCCGGCTCATACTGCTTGATCACTTTGATCTCCTGAGCTTTGAGAGCTTCAGCAGACCTACGGATCATCAAACTTATTTATACAAGGCTAAATAGGGTTAAACGACTCCATACAGGGTTATATAGGGCTATATAGGGGAATCCTCACGTATGAAGGGATCCTGTATCTAGGAGGACCCCAATACTGGTTGGTGGATACCTGGCACTCCATAATAGCAAGGACTAGAATAGATTGGGGTCTATATTGAGCTCCCCCTATTTTGAGAAACTACCACTTCTGGGTCAAAGATTAAAGCTAAAGGTAGCATGTCTCTGACGCTTTTGCTCTCTCCCTCTAGCTCAGAGCTTTCTGCACTGTGCCTATTCTTGGCAAATGCTGCGCAATGCGTTTATGCTCCTTGAATTCCTGAAGCTTCAATACCACACCTGCGAAAAAGAGCATGGATGGCAAAGCCCGCAGCCCTGAATTCAGAACACCTACGTAGAAGAAACCGAACAACCAAAGAGGTGACGATAGCCGGCGGCGACACCTAGAGGAATCTAAAGACTAGCCCTTAGCAGAGCAAAGTCCTATGGAAGATCCACAATGCACTTTGACAACCACGCCAATGCATATCGGTAGTTCTCTGAGGGTGCTGAGAAGTAAGCCCAGCATCCTGACTTTGAGTAAGAACTCACAAGAACTGTAACCTTTTTGTGGAGACCGATTATTAAGTTATTAAGCTCCCTGAAGCCGCGTCCAAATGCTCCAGCAAGAGCGGCTGGGATCTTGATCTTCAGCGAGTGCTCCTTTTGCCAGGGACACCGGGAGGGGTGAGTAGGCGGGTCCCCAGAACGAGCTCCAGCAGCCCGCTGCGCCCTGCTCCATGATTTTTAGCACGTGGGATCCCTGCTTTATCCAGGTCACGGCTTCCACAGAACATGGATGCATGTCTACCTCGTACTTAGGAGGCTTGCCTTCATGCAAACAAAGGCTTCTCACGGGAGCTTTGCAGTAACATCTCCTAGGAACCCTATAAAACCCCTTGGCCCCTCGAATTGGAAAAAGCGCTACATGATGCGGTGTGCCTGCCTTGAGCACCTTCTGCAGGGATTGGTGAGCGAAGTCTCTGGCGCTGGCAGACTTGTAGAAGATCCTAACAGCAACATGAGCGCACTCTTAGGCGGTTTGGCGGTCTACTGTTTCCTGAGGCTCCGAAAACTCAAACAAGTTTATTAAGAGTCTGTGCAGGCTCGCACATCCTTATCCAAACCATTGAGGAGTCTTGGCTTGCCTGGCTCCCTGGATTCTGTGAGCCTTTCTTGTGGGGGCCGTAAACAGAAGCGAGTGAGGAACTGTTCAATGTCCGCTACCCAAATGAATTGCTCTCCATCAGGGCTGCGATCCTTTCCATAGTTATATGAAGTCCTCATTCATTGAAATCACTAGATTTTTCGGACCTTAATCAAGAACTGTCCTACTTTCCTGCGGATTGAGCTCTGGTCTGACTACTACCACTTCTGCCAGGATGAGATGAACATGGGGCCTTTGCGCCTGGAGCAGATAGGCAGAAGCCCACCGATCGGATCAGACCACAATTCACAATTCCCTTCATCATGAGCACCTACATGGAACCAGTATATAGCTAATATGTAAATAAGGATCATGGAAAATCAAATGGAAACTACTACGGCATATGGGGTTCTATAGGGATAATGGAAAAGAAAATGGAAGCTACTGTAGGGATTATATTCTGTTCCAGAAAGCTCATGCTCCGAGTGCTCGGTCCACATCCTTGCAGGAGGCCTACTTAACTTCAAGCCGAGTGCTTCGTTCGGGCATCCGGCGGCGAAGTCTCGATTTGCGTTTTGTGCTCGTTCTTGCCTTGCAGGTGGGGCAAGGGATGCTGATATGAATTGGGAGGACCCCCCACCCTGTAATAGTGGTATAATAGGAATATAAGAGGACCCTAATAATCCCTATTATCCCCTATAGTCACTATTACTGGGTGGGGGGTCCACCTAAGATATGAATATGGTCGGAACGGTTTTGGGGTTGTACTACGCATCAGTACTAGCCTCGAGTGATCCATGATAGTTGGACCTCTTGCTTGTCCAGACCTGGCGGGCCAGGCAGAAACTGATGCCCGCATTCAAATTTTGTGGCTCATCCTTCCGACCAAGACTTTGGCGCAATAAGCGGGACGAAGAAATCACTAACATGTCCCTGGATCACTACAACCCCAAAAGTCAACCATCGCAAACCCACAAACACATCCTCCACCCAAAGTCCAATTACGCGCATACGATGACACATCTGCGGGCGCGTTGCTGATTTGCAGGAATGGCACCTGGGTGCGGAGAGCTCTGGCGGACAACTTCAGGCTTTGCATTCTATACTCTGTACCAGTCATACCAGCCCGTGTTCCTCAGCATGGATTCCCAAAGACAAAATTATACGCGGAGGCACCCATAAAACCCTGAACTTGCCTTGACAACCAGAAATTCCAGAAACAACTTGTCGAGGTTGCACTACATGCCGATTTGGGACGTGGGGTATGCTACCAAGGGAGCCGACCAAGTCAAAACAAATGCAGGAAGAGCACAAAAGCAGAAAGCCGGTTCTTCTTGGCGGACTTTCCCTTCACGTTCAGGCCTTTGCCGACACCCACCTTGCCTGCAGGGGAGATGCACCAGGGCTTGGTCCAATTCTGGATGCTGGTTTTCGGTGGACCCTTCTGTTCAAGAGTTCTGAGCGGCAGGGTGTAAAGTTTGCAGAAGGCATATGAAGTTCCAGGGGAAACCTGCCAAGCTACCACCAAACTTGAACCGAAGCCAGAGATGGTAGCGCGCGAGATTTGAGATTCACAATGCTGGGAGGCCATACCAGCGGGTTTGGCCGCGCCATCCATGCAGTCTGAGCCATGTTCTCTACGTTTGCGCTCCCGTGATTTCTGAACAGCGCAACAACTGGGCCCAGTAGCGAAAGCAGGACCTTGATTCTCATGGCTTGTGGCTCGGGCCTAGGAAGAGTCTCTTGAGAGGGATCTTGAACCAGGTAAACTTGGCGAACCCACAACCCAAAAACTCGGGCCAAAATAAACGCAAATGTTTGACTGGAGTTGCTCCACATTGAGGCCACTTTCGGAGGTTTCTAGAAACCAGGAGTGTCTGATTTTGACCATGTATGGTAGGGCACGAGTTTTGAATCCCTCAACATAAGATCGTTTTCGGCACCCGCCAAGGCCTAGCATTTTCGCAATGCTGTCGCGGCTGCATGGTCGGTAGACTACAAACCTGATCCCAGACCAGGGTTTGTCTGGATTCTGGATCTTTGGGAGTCCGCGTAACACGGATGATTTTTCCAGGGAGCACATCAGAGGACTTTAATATTCAGAGGTATGAAGCCAGGAACAAAAATTGGCTTAGAAGGAACAGGAAGAATTACGGGCTGGGGAATGTTTGCACGTTCTTCTCGGCCCCCAATCTTTTGAGCCCCCATCTGTTCCTGCCGCATAATACACAATCCCAAAGAAAATCCGATAATCGCACAGCTGACTGGGCCGCAGGGAAGAGGGAGGAAATCCAAGGAAGGAACCAAGTAAACTTTTCAGAAGGTGCAAGAATGCCTGCCCCGCCAGTGGTTTCAAACGTAGTTGCTTCTCACTGCGCTGCCTAATCCCTACGGAGGCTGCCAAGCCACCATGTCGTCTGCTGCGACTTTGAAGTGCTGAGCGGCAGCCCCCTTGGCTGCTGGGTCATCTCACATACCAAGCCGCTTACTTGTGGATTTAGACGTCTAAATACGGTTTATTGTTGAGTAAATCAAGAAGATGTTTCGAGCTACAACAGTCTGTCGCACTGCATGGATACAAAACCTGCGCTTCTCTCCTCAACAAAAATGTGTTTGTCTTCTAACATCTTTTCCACAAGCGGGCAAGCTTTTGAAAAGCGCCCCTGACACTCCCTGGCTCTCACAAAACAGGATTGCACCCATTTGACGAGTCACACAACAAATATCCATTGCTGACTTCTAAGACTCTGATCTACTTGAGGGGGACTATAACCCTAAACCCTAAACAGTAGTTTCCATTTTCTTTTCCATCATCCCCTTACAACCCTAATACTTAAGGGGGACTCAGAAGCTCCCAACCCTTCCAACCCTCCTCTGAGCAGCCTTCGCTTCAGGGTGCCGCAAGGACCCCGCGAGTCGCCTAGCGTTAGGGGCTGGGATACCTATAGGAGATGGGGAATATATTGGGATAATGGAAAATAAAATGGAGACTACTATAGTATATTGGGGATATGGGATAATGGAAAACAAAATCGAAACTACTGTAGTATATTGGGGATGTATCAGGATAATGGAAAATAAACTGGAAACTACTACAGTATGGTGGGGATATATTGGGATAATGGAAAAGGGGGTATATACCTATCTAGAGTTTGTTATATATATATATATGTAAAAGGCTTACGGCAAGGCTGAGGACTTCCAGCCTGCCTGCTGGTACACTAGAGCTGCCAAAGGACCAAAAAAAATCAAATAGTAGTTTCCATTTTCCATTATCCAAATATATCCCCCAATGTACTATAGTAGTTTCCATTTTATTGTCCATTATCCCAATATCTCCCCTATATACCCCCTACCTTTTATAGGGACCATTCATGATTCAGGCCCTGCGGCCCGACCTGACCACTCCACCTA